AAAAAAAAAAAAAAAAAAGTCACAACAACACACGGGCTTCCCTAAACTTTTCCATTTATCCATTTTTCTTTGGGGCAGCACATATATGTCGATCGGTATGGCTATTCAAAGGGATTTGCAAAATGGGAAGGCAACTCCCCACCATGAAATGTAGCAGCCCGCGTACACATGTGTCCTTTCACAAAAGGAGGCGGTCACTCCAATTTTGCAACTTCCCGTCTTGGAGGAAACATACAAACGGTATAAAACTATTTGCCCTTTTTTTTTTTTTTTTTTTTTTTTTTTTTTTTTTTTTGTCTTTCCCTCAAAACATTTCTCACACCACTTTGCGCCTTTGCGTTAGGGAGAACAATTAGAGGTTGTTCCTGAAAAGGGTGTATTGCCCCCCCCTCTTGGTTGCAGTTACGATGGAGATTATTGTTCACACGTTCACCGTTTCACGCCACCACGCTACCACCCTTACGTTGACGCATCCCCCCGAGTGGCTCTTCTGTAAGTAAGGAGGAGCAAGGGGGAAGTGGACGCCAAGAGAGCAATCACAATATAGGCAAACGGGTTGGGGTCACTGTTGCTATAGTCCACGATGAAATAATTATAAATGGGTATGTTCAGAAGGGAAAGCAACCCGCTGATCATGCTGGTGGTGCCTGCGATTTTCCCAAAATGACGTTTTGGAAACATCAGCTGGATGTAGCAATAGAGTTGTGTCGTATAGCACCCTGTTACTATGAGGTAGAACAGCGTACTTAAGTAGGCAAACAATTTACCCCTCATTGTGGCAAAAAGATACATGAACAGACTGCTCATGAGAAGGGATAGTATAAGAATAAGGATGTGAAACTTGCGAATGAGGAAACCGAAGGCTGCACAGGAAATCACTGATAGCGGTCCGAATATCTTTAGAACCTCCTGCACATCTGAATAATCTGCAAAAAATAACTTTGCACACTCGTTATAATTTACTAGCGATAAATTGTATATGGTGAAGTAGTAGCATATGCTGAGGTATCTGATGGAGAAGAAATTCGCTCCTGTTTCTTTACACTGGGTAGGTGTTGTAATATTTTTACAGATACTCTTGTGGTCCACATTTTTGTTTAGCTTCTCATCTAAATGAATTACTTCATTCTCATTTGATATGCCCCCTTGGACGGAGGAATTGAGGGCGCAACCTCCATCCATAATGAGAGAAGCCCCCCCCTTTTGTGAAAATACATCATTGGAGCCCTTTTCCCTGTTGGTCAAATTGCTTGATGTATGTGTGCCAACCTTCCTCAGTACGCACCCATTTGGGGAGGATAAGTTAAAGGATGATGAGGTGAAGACCCTTTCGATCATCAACTCGCGTAGGGTGTTGTTTTCTCCTTCCAGCTCATGTTCGTATTCTACATAGAGGGGAACAAGTGCTTCATCCGTTGCGTGGCTTCCACGGTGCAGACTAAGTTGGTCAACCTGGCTCGCGCAGGGACTATCATATGGGCCGTCAACAGGGTCATCCATGGGCTGCACGCCGGACACGACGTACCCCTCCAACTCCTCCATCGTCTGGTTGTGACTCCGCTGGACTTCTTCCACAACGGGCTCCCCACCGCTTATATGATTCAGGGGCAAAAAAATCAAAAGGACAAAGAAAAAGGGAACCAAAATGATCGCACAATATAGTAAGCAAATTAGCTGAAACGACTGAGCGTCATTTGGCGAGGTGAACATGTCCAAAAATATGGGCATGCTAAAACTTAAAGAAGCACAGCATCCCAAAATGACAGTATACATGGTATGATTTTCTTCGAATAAGTAAATTAAACTAAGAATTGGTATGTAGGAGGAGTCGGAAGAGAGCCCCAAAAATATTGCTCCAAAAATGATGGTGTTATTTTTGCCTTCTTTTTGTAACCCAATTAAAATCCACGAAATGATGTTAAAGGTGTGCCCAATTAACGCTGTTATTTTGGGTCCAAAATAATCAAAAAATACACCAGATATGGCTGACATGATAAAATTTGAGCACAGGATAATTGGGTATAAGGCTTGCACTCTCTTGTCCTGTTCTTTACAACTGTATGATTTACCCTCCCAGTTTTTTCTCCCTACCAAGCGCACACTGTTGCAATCGTCTATGTACACATTTCCGTGATAAAAAAAGTCGGACAAAGAAATCCAGTTAAAAAATATCCCTACGCAGGTCATTATGTACACACAGAACAACATCAACAGGGCATATTTTTTCCTAGTCGAAAATTTGCTAATGTCTACGCCTTTCCTAATGAAGTTTTCCACCGCCCCCTTTCTTTTCGTCTTCTTGCTTGATTCCTCCATTTTTGACTTTCCCCTCCCTATATGTGTTCGTGACCATCGGGTTTGGTTTTCCCCACTGGTTCCTTATCTTACTTGTACACTTTGTGTGTCCGCCTGTTCGGCTGGCACTCCCTGCCTTCGGAACGAGTGCAACAAATTGGTCCTTCCAAAAGTGGAGACGGGGAAGACGCACTCATTTGTACCTTCCCTGTGCTCACCAATTTGTGTGTGCAATGTGGCAAAAAAAAAAAAAAAAAGAGCACGTTTTTACCTGAACAAGTCAGAAAAAGGCAATCCAATTCAATGTAATTTTTTTTTTTTTTTTTTTTTGCAAAATGGCTACCTCGTCAGAGTGAAAGCTATCCATGTCCAAGGTGCCCATTAGATGGTCTACTGGACCGCGCCAATATGGGATTGATGCGGTATGTTTTTTCTTTTTACGATTGTGGGATGTACACTAGGATGAGGAATTTTAACTCAAAGCGGGGTTCCACGTGGGGCCCACTGGATGACGGTTCATTTGAGCACGAAAAAAAGGCGAAAAAGGAAAGAACGGTGAAGAAAGGGGAACAAAACTGGTAAACCAGGCAAAGAAGACGAATCAGACAAAAAAAGGTAAAACAGGCATTACTGCCACAACTGGCATAAGTAACATAACGAAGGATGCGGCATTTTCGAGCGACATCCCTCTGCACAACGCGAGGGGGCGAAACAGAGCACGCTTGCTGCGCCGTAGAGGCTTCCCTAATGCGACATCGATGCCGCTTCACTGTCACATCAGCGCGTTAACGCTACCTCCCTCGTAACACGCCGCGCAAACCCTATGGCTTCCCAGAGAGCAACCCCTCCAGGCGCTGGAACGACCTGGACTGCAGAAAGAAAAACCAGGGGACGCACACAAATTCCAAGTCGTACAGTACTTGCAGCACGTTATTGCGGAACTGTGTCCTTCCATTTTTGCACAAGCGCATGCCGTTATGTTCAATCTCGTAGTTGTTCTCATCGGTTGACATGTTGTAATGGTAAATCCCGTCCACCTCGAGCACAAGATGTGGTTCTCCTTTTTTGAGGACCAAAAAATCCACCACAAATCCGCGCTTCAAGAAATATTCTGACTTGTACATAATTTTTTTCTTCTTCAAATATTCACAAAGTTTGTACTGAAAACTGGACATGTGTACTTTTTGTTGGAAAGACATTTTGTTCCTTGTCACCGTTTCTTTAACTACACAATAGGGTATATAAAAAGAGGTGGGGATGCGAAGTTGTCCTTTCTTTAAATGAAAATTTTCTTTGTTTTTCTTGTAATACATATTTAAACACACTAACATTTGATTCAGCATGTTGTAGTCCTCCTCTCTCCAATCTACTTTGCTGGAAAATGTTCTCCTTAACAAGATGCACATTTTGGCAAAGGTGGTTATGGAGCTCTCCAGGAAGGCGCTACTTAAGAGTAGGGACCACGCGCACTTGGCGACTTTGTTGACTGTGTCCTGTTGATGGTTACTATACAGGTGTTCCATTTCTGCTGTGTTTCTTCTTCCAGTAGGGGGGTCTTCTATACAGCCGCTAGACCTATTTGACTCTTCCCCAAAGTGGGAATAATGGTCGTTTCCGATGTGATGTCTAGCGCCAGCACATTTATCACCATTAGCTTCATAAACCCAATTAGCACAATTGGAAGCTTCCTGTTGAGTTTCCCCCTTGCCCATGTCCCCCAGAAGTATTCGCAAGGCAAACTTCAAAAAGCTCATGGTTATTATATTGAAGTGGCAACATACAAACGTGATGGGGTACAGAGAGTGAATATCCACGTGCGGGAGGGTCTCCAGAATGGGGAGCAAATACAAAAGCAGGGTCTTGTTCACCACGTTGTTTTTGTAGTGTAGCAGGCAAATCTGAACAACAGTTTGGACCTTTATCTTGTCCTCTACATTATTTGGCCCTTCTGCAGCTTTCCCACTCTTTCTCACCTCCCCCCCTTTTAGTATGCGCCAAAAGGACTGATAAAAAAAGTCGTACAGTTCAACCGATAACGTGTTTATGGTGCTGGAGAGAGCGAAGAAAAAATTAACCAACCCTTGCATGGAGTCGATTTCGTTCTTTCTGTACAATATGGCTCGTTCCAATTTGTGCAGGTGCTGGAACAGGTGTGTCTTGGCTGCTTCGAGTTGTTCACGTGGGGAGGAGTCACACGCATCGCTGCTGGTCAATGTGTGTGACGTTCGTTGGGGCGGCACGTCGGTCAGGGGAATCTCCTTCCACGCGCAAAATTGGGGTCCACGTGGGTCACTCCCCGCACCTGTCGCAACACTAAGTTTCCCACCGATGCTTCCTCCCGGCACGCAGAAAAGCATATTTCCAGCCCCGACATACTTCACACTCGCCAGGGTATACCTCTGCACAATGTAGCAATATGTTGAATAAAAAACCATGATCAGTTGTTTCATCTGCACATGCCTAAAATTGCTGTTTACAAAATCGAAAAAGTGGGACAGGGTATTCATTTGGTCATACCCCAGGGAGAGTAAGCTTCTCAAGGACAGAACAACATTGGGCATGTTATTTAGGGTGAAGAAAAGGTTTCCTTTTTTTATGACCATCCTTTGAATAAAACACTGGACAAAGGGATCGTAGTGGTAGTTGGCATTAGCTAGCCCCACCAAAATGTCCACCCAATTTCGCACCTCCTCAGTGGTTGCTATTTTCATGCTTGTGGCTGTGTGCTGAATATCCCTCTTCTGTTTTTCTTCTTTCGTTGTGTAACTCCTGTGGGGATTAGGTCCACAACCCAATTTGAGGAGAAAACAATCAACGAGCAATCTGTACAGCTGATTATTCCGGACTGCTAATCTGGAGAAGTCCCTCACAAGGGAGGACAAATCTCGTTCGTTAGCGTCAACGAGCCATGTACTACATGGGCCTGGCCTTTCCTTCTTAACCAATGTGTTAGCAGCGAGGGGGTTGCCTCTCCGTTCGTAAGCAGCACCTGGGTAGGCAGCCCCTTCGCGGGTATCACCTTCGTGGGGAGCACCCCCTTGGGGGGGAAGGCCAACAGGGTAAGTCTGTCCACGCAAAAGCAAGTCCATGATGACCGCAAGGTGTGCCTCTTCCCTTGTCCCCTTCTGAAGACCATAATTCACTTTCAGATTTAAAAACCGGCACAATTTGAAGATGGTAAAATTATGGATCTCATTTGGGGGGGCCTCGATCTTTTTCAACAGCACTTCTATTATCGCGTCTTTGAATTTTCCTTCCCAATTTCGGCTTGCCATTTCGAGGAAGTTCAGGATTGTTTTTATGTCCAATGGGTGGCGTTCAATTCTCTGCAGGGTGTACCTCTGCACAGAGGTAACCATTTGGTTAATAGAAGAGGAGTTGAAAATTCGGAAGAGGTCGTTCGGGGAGGTGGTTTCCGTCGCCACTCGGGGGGGTTCCCCTACTGGACGATGTCCCACCCCGTGCCTCTTCCTTCCCCAATCGAAAAGATACTTGGCAAACCCGCTCGCATTGCACAACGCTGAGGTGGACAATTTCACCAAGTCGGCTTCCCCCATCCGGAGCGAAAGAACGGAGGAGACATACTGCCGCACGTCCACGTCATTACTTTGGGACCCCCCCAAATGCATAGCACGCCGCATATACATGTGTGCGAAGTAGATAAAGAGAGCCTTCCAATTTAAGACCACCTGTTCACTCATCAGTTTTTTCTTCTCCATAAGATTAACAATTTTGGCCATGGCCCAAATGAAGCCGATGGTGTGTTTTTCCTTCATTCTGGTGATACTCCCCTCATCGTATCGAACTTGTAGAATTATGCTGACTAGCAGATCCACAATTGCACTGCTGTTTCGTTCCTCAATCTGCTTAACTCCATTGATGAGGTTTATTACGTTACTTTTTTTTAAATCGGTTGCCTTGTCCTTTGTTGCGTCCCATTTTTTCTTTTTCTTTGTGAGGTCACAATGGGAGGAGAGTGTATCCCGACATCGTGGGTTGTAGGGGGGAGGGTCACATGTTGCAAATTTGGGGACATCCGCTTTCCCCCCGGTGGGGTGGCAGATCCGTTTGGTTGAGAAGAAGTAGCGTCCCTCTATGCCGCGTCTGCTCGTCCCGATGCTTCCCCCGCTTCTACCCCTCCTGCGGGTGGGCGGGACGATGGCGTTGGTGGCACGCTTGAGGGCGCTGCTCACCGGGGATGCGCGCTTCATTGTAGAAGTGGGTTTTCTTACGCATCAACTGGGTGTGTTCACTGAGGTTCGCCATTGGGCTCATAATAGGGTAGTGGAATGACTGGGGGGAAACAACAACAAAAAAAAAAAAAAAAAAAAAAGGGGTTTGCAGGTATTCATGGAAGCGAGGACACAACACCCATTATAAAGAATGGCCCACTTACGGGTAGGTTGTTTTGCTCCTGCGAGAGGTGGCTGACCTGTTTTTGTGCCTGGGGGTACAAGTGTGGATCTGTGGAGGGGGGTCGAGCGTACCGGATCCCCACATCCTACGCTACGCCCCCATGCGCACCCGGTGCAAAGTTTTTTTTCCGCGGGGTGAAAGCCTTATCCAATTTCGTTCATCCAGAGTCTCCGAAAGAATTCCCTCCTTGTGTAGATAGTACATTTTTTTGGTGACCTTTAAAAGTGCCCGCTGTTCGAAGTGATCCCCTCATCGTTGCATCTACCCCCCGCCAGTGATAAAAAGGAAGAACAAAAAAAAAAAAGGAAGAAAAAGAAGGAAAGAAAGAGGTATGCGCCTGTTGAGTGCGGCTGCGCAGGGGTTGTTACTGGGACGCCCTTCTCCAACGCAGTCGTTGTTGTGGGTTCCCCGTGTGACACATCCACGTGCGGTCCATCGCCACCTCGCACGGCCCCTGTTGGGATATGTGCCTTCCCCCGTGAGCCACTTTTCAACGAAGAGGAACAACTCGCCCCAGTACGAACACACAAGAAGAGCCCTCGTACAGCTGAACAAAACATACCATTCACAAACAAATTTCACAGAAGGAGAAATGGAGTTCTGTCAGGTAGATCTGGATGAGTTCTGTTATAAGCAATTTGATAAGACGAAGAAGTCCTGTTCATTTATACCTTACGATAAAAATGAGTTCATTGAAAAGGTAAATGAACTGATACGGCAAAAAAAAATTAAAGTAGTACCAGGGTATGCTGGTTTTTGTAAGCATATATTTATTGAAAATTTTACAGAGGCAACAGTGGAGACAATTGAAATTAACAACAAGAATAGGGACCTCATAAAAACCGATTACATATCTAGGAGGGATAATGAATTGCCTGTACTGATAAGGTGGATCTCAAAGAAGGATGTGAAGGACATCATCAAGGCCAAGTACCTGGATCTTATTTTGTATTCCAGGGAACAGATCGAAAAGGAGAATAAAGAAACCAAGACAGTACCTAATAAGAAGTCCAACTGCCTGTACTCCATCATTTGCATTAAGCCGCAAAACGTGGACTACGAACTACCTATGACTCCCATCACCATGCTGCGCAACACGCTCATCAGTGAAGGTGGCAGCGGCATCAACTTGAACCGCGACAAGTACCTCGAGTCGGTCAAGTATTGGCGCCACCATGTATCCATCATTGACAATTAAAAAAAGTAAAGCTATGTTTTGAGCGCAGTGTGGAAAGTACTTGCTAAATAGCTCACGCGATTGTAGTACCGCCCCTTTTTTTCCTTACGCAGTCTGCGTCCACGACGGATGCGATGAACCATCTTGCAAAAATGATAGGAAAAAAATCAGTTTTACTTAAATTGAAATAAACATTGTTGGTTCCACTCGGAAAGAGATGTGCAACTGTTAAGTGTTTTTTTTTTTTGTATGAACTGTTCATACGTTTTTTTTACTTTTTTACCTGTACGTACAGGTATTTTTTTTTTTTTCTCCACACACACACGCGCAATGAGCAGCCTTTGTGTGTGTGTGGGACGGTAGACAGTAAATGTGCTTTTTCGCCACGAAAGCGCCAAATTACCTCCCCCAGCGCATCACATCACGTCTGCTCGTCCTGCTCCTTCCTGCGTTCTTCGATAAGGCCCATCAAATTCTTGGGCAGCTTCCACTTGGGGACGTTCTCCTGGACAGGCTCGAACAGGCGCAACGTGTATCCGTAAGGCTCTTTCGTGAGCACATCAACAAACTTCTGTGTCAGTTCCTCAGGAGTGGAAGCAGCGGAGGTAAGGGCAATCTTCTTAACATCTCGCAGGGAGGAAAAATCAAAATCTTCTACACTGTTCATCAACACAGCAGGAGTGTTCCGCAGCTGTGAGGAGTACACTAATTTTTTTGCGTTCGACGATGACTGACTTCCAACAACGATAGTAAGATCGCACTCCTTACAAATCTGATTCAATGCCGTTTGTCTGTTCGTAGTGGCATAGCATATGGATCCACTTGGAATTGTTTCAATGTTTGGAAATTTCTCCTTTAGTCTCTTTATAATTAAAGCGCAGTCATCCATACTTAACGTAGTCTGGGTGACATAAAACAGTTTGTCCTTGTCCGAGAATGGTAAGTCTTCTATTTGATTTATATTTTCCACTACGTAAGTACAGTCTGGCGCTTCGTTAAAGGTACCGACTACCTCCACATGGTTTTTATAACCGATGAGTATAATTTTGTATCCTTCCTTTGCTTTCATCTGAACATATACATGTACTTTGTTAACTAAAGGACACGTCGCATCAATTTCGATGAGTTTTTTTTTTTTTGCAAGTTCTCTAATTTGTGGGCTAATTCCATGGGCTGAATAAATTAAAATATTTCCATCGGGCACTTCATTCACGTCTTCAATAAAGATTGCTCCCTTCTCTTCCAACTTCTTACACACAAAGTCGTTGTGAACGATTTTATGCTTTACATATATTGGTGGCTTAAACATTCGAAGACACTCCTCCACCGTTTCAACCGCTCTGCTGACCCCTTTGCAGAAACCTCTGGGACTTACAAGGTAAAGGATTTTCTCCCCCTCTTTGGGTATTACATCTCCACTGTGCGCCGTCTTCGGACAACCGCATCCCCCACATGCACTGGAGCCGCATTGGCCCCCTTCCTGACGCAGCCGCCACTCGGGGGGTCTCCTTATCGCGCCATTCAGAAAGGATAAGAAGTTTGGGAAATTTTTTCCCTTCCCCTTTTTTTGCTTCCCCTCCAAAGGAACGCTCCAACGATTTATAACTTCCACCACTGCGAGGGGCCCCCTCCTCCCTGAGGAAAAATCAGATACTCGGAGATGACCCTTCCGTAGACCATGTTCCACTCGCTTGGACTGTACCGCGGCGAGGATGACAACCAGGATGAGCAACAGGCAGCAGCACCTCCCAAGGGGGCGGTGAGTGATGCGCGCCGCTCGGGCCATTCGGTAAAGCCACATAGATTTGGAGGGGGGAGCGGCGCGAAGCCGAACTCGCCTTAAAGCGGATCCTCTAGCGCAATTCCCCCAGCAGCGCAGCCCCTACACGTGGCCTCCGCGTGACCCTCAAATGTAGCCTCCAACTTATCCTCCGTGTTGGAAGTATCCTTTGTCCCCTGTGTGCCTTTCTCTTCACCCCGGCGGAAAATGAGAGCTCTTGTCATTATCGCCCGCGTAGAGAGAGATAGAGGAAAAGTCGCTCTACCGCGGGGGTGTGTCAAGGTTTTCTCCCGCTTTGTAAAGGGGACCAACGTGTGCGAAGCGTACTGATATTATATTGTCGTTACGACTCCACTGCGACGGCGTTACAGAATGGTTAGGAAGTAGCTACGAAGTTGTGCTGAGCACTCACAGAGACATCACGCAGCATCGTGGAAAGCTTTGGTAAAAAAAAAAAAAAGGGGGAAAGTCACGTCCCTAACCACACATGCACCCAATCGGTGTCGCAAAAGGTAAAAAAAAAAAAAAATTGCAAAAACGGAGCCTTTTCACTTGGCTGCTTCACAAGACGTAAAAAGTTGTTGCAAGAATTCATCAGAATGTTAACGGAAAAGGATGGAATTAATAAAAAAAAAAAAAAAAAAAAAAAAAAAAATCAAATCAGGATACAGCAATGTGTGAACAGAGGCCAACTACGCACAAAATTTACGAGCCAAATTTCAACAACAATGTACCTACGACCACCGCCCTACTGGCACACACTTAAGCGAGTACAATCACACCACAAAAAAAAAAAAGGGAAGGAACAACAGCATGCATACAGGAACAAAGAAGCACATACCGTGTACATATGTGCACGCGTGTAAAATACGAGTGTTGTTGTGCCACACCCCCTCTTCCCCTCCTAGAAGTGAAGCGCAGGGGAGGGTGGTGCCTGCTTGCAACGGTAAAACAAAACATAAGGCGTATGGTCATTGGAAGGGTCCTTGGAAATTTTGTTTATAGATTTGGAGCTCGTCTTTGTAATTACCGAATCGTTTATCTGATACCAGTCATTCTTATTGTCCTCCGGATCCCGCTCAGACTTTTTCCCAATGAAGTAGTAATGGCCCGAGGAGGCAGACGAACCTCCGTGGATGATGCTTCCATACAATTTGTAATCAAAGTTGTTTACCACTATTTTGGAGTTGACCTTCACGTGCGTCTTTACCTTTTTCTTTTCGTTGGAGCTGAAGGACCAGTTGTACCTGCGGGGGATGAAGTGGAGTGGAAGTGGAAGAAGTGGAAGACGTGTGTATAACATTGACAAAGGGTGTGGGGCAGCATAACTACACGTCTGCGTAACGCCTTCGCCGCAAACATGGCTAACGCCGCTTCACCGCTCGTCAACGCCCCTTACCTATTGAGGATCAAGATGAGGTGGCAGGGCGGAGAAATGATTTCGTTCCACTTGAGGGCGTTCCGCCTCTTGTTGCACTTGGAGCACCGGTACTTGTTGGACCCATGAATTTTCTCCTTCTTCACAAAGGTGTCGAAAAACTTCTGAATTGATAATTTCTCCGATGCTTTCACAGGAACAGGAAATGACAAATCGTGAATGACTTCCTCCTTTTTCGAAACAAAAAAACATTTCTGACATTGCACCTTTTGCACAAGCACACCTGAAAATATAAGTCGGAGAAATTCTTTACTCGATCCTCCCAGTCGGTCGAATATATATCTCAACAATTCAGTAACGTCTTGTTGATGGCGATTGTTCAGTTCATGTGGGAGGAGACCCAATATGGAATCAGGCGAAACACAAGTCTTCTGCGTGGTCGTCATGATGATGTAAAAATTTTTTAACTCTTGTAGAAATTTCTCCGACTCTGCTAAGAATACATGATTCATGGGAGTTGTTCCGTAGAGAGTGTTAAGTCTGGTAAGCGTATTCATTTTCCCCACTGAATTGTTTACGTTATTTACTCCATCCATGGTGCTAAGTCCGTTTTGCATTGCTCCCTTTTGGGCATTCGTTCCGTTAAGAACAGCAGTAGACATCTCCTTCTCTGCAAATGGATTCGAATTGTGTTCCATTCCTCCCTCCTTGGAATCCCCTCGAATATTAAAAAGATATAAATTCACCACGAACGAGACAGTGCTGTATAAGGCTTGCAGGAGGCTATTCAAGTAGCATGTGTTTCCTAAGTTCACCAACCCAACAGGTGGAAATTTCAATTTACTCTGTGTCATTTTGTTCAATTCACAAGTATCTACTTTTAGCATCAGATATTTTGGGGCACCTCCACCTCCTCCTTCTCCTTGTCCCCTTTTCGATTTGATTTTCCTTCTTAGACTGCTGGTTGTGAAATCGACCTCCTGATAATTTTCATTAAGGGGATTATTTTTGATACAAATATTTCTACTCAGTGTGCTAGTACTAGCTGACGGGGGCATGTTGTTTTGCATCGGGTTCTCATACGGGAATTCATTTATGGGTCCGTTCATCGAGTGAGTGCCAATCTGTTCCGTTTGATTGGCGACGCCATTGGGATCATTTACATCGCGTGTTGCAGTAGCGTTGTTTTTCATCGACTCTTTTTTCCTTTCCCTCTTCCTATTTTCATTGCTCACGTGTAGTCCCTTCTCTGCCTTTTCATCTTCAGACTCCAACACCCCGAGTGATGGAAATTTCTTCATCACATTGTTCTCACTTGCAAAGGGGTCAGACTGCATCATCATAGCAGTAACATTTCCCCCCTCACTACTCTTCTTCCCATGCAGCAAGTCCTTCATCCCTCCATTTTTATGCTCCTTATTCATGTGATAATTTTGGCTAGACGAATTTTGCCTCGAGATGGAAGAGTCCATGGGGAAATTTCCAACCCGCATAGGGTTCGACCCAAATAGTTCTTCTTTCGAATCTTGTGGGCATGTCGATCCACTGGTCTCTCCTACAGTTCCACCTGCTTCCTTACTCTGAGAATTTTCTTCCTCCATGTTGTCACCGTGGGTAGCATCCTCCTCCTGTCCACCTAGCGACGTGGAACCCTTCTTCCTTGAAAGGATCTTCTCCTCAAGTGGGTTGTTGAAGTGCAAACTTGTTATGTACTCCTTCACATTACAATTTTCATCCAACGAGGCTCTTCCCTCTGAGTTATTTTCGCTGTCGTAATTTTTAAACATGTCATCGTATGTAATGCAGTTTTCATCAGTGTCGTCCTCACTCCTGCAGAGAGTTGCCTTGATCGGTGTCACGCTCATTAAGGCCGTGTTACCCATATGGTGGTTGTCATTATAAGTGTGGTGGTGGCCATTGCTCTGGAGGATCCTATCACCTCTTCCTCTTCCTCCACTCGCAAAAAAAGCGTCATCCTCCTGTGTCCTGTCTCCATTGAACCCACTTCTCCCCATCGTCTGCTTCCTATCTGAATATAAATTAAACTTGCCATTCGCGTAAAAATGTTCCAAGCTGTTTATCTTCTTATCCGTTCCAGGTGGTATCACTCCCCTGTTTTGTGAGTTGCATGTACTGCTCCTCATGTAGGGTCTGTCTCCAAAGGGGGGCTGGAAGCGTTCAGGGAGGCTCTCTTGGGGGCATCGATCATGGAGGTTCCTTCCGTGTGTCATATCACCCACACGTGGAGGATTGCTCATCCCCCATAGCTGATGCGTAGTGGTGACACCAGGAAGAAATGCTCTGCCCATGGGGGAAGAAGCCTGAATTTGTTCCAAGTCATTAAGTATATTCTGAAGGAGGGTCATAATCTCTACGTCAATTTCATGCTCAATAAATTTCCACAGAAAAAAGTACCTCTTAAAAAAGGGGATGAAATACACCAACACCATATTAGCATTTTTAAAAGTCCTGAACCCTAGCTTGTGATTATTTAAAAAATAATTAAATTGTTCCAAACATGATTTAGCATTCAGTAGGTTAGATATTCTACATATAACAATTTTGATGCATATTCCTAAGAGGAGTATATTTTCCATTTCGCTGTTATCATTTGGGTATGCGTTTCTCTGGGTGTTTGGCGCGAAGGTGGGCGGCTGTGGGCTTCCTCCCTGACTGGCGGCTTCAACTGGCTTATCCGTTTGGAGGAAGGGTTCTGCAAAGTGTGTGGTGTAAGGCGGGGTGTGCAAAGGATGTCGTTCTACGCCATCGGTGTTACATGGCCGATGCGATGTGCAGGTAAACACCCCTCTGTAGCGCTCACCCGTTGGGCAAACTTCATTCGTGCCCATACTTTGTAGTGTGCTCAGCGGGAGGCTTCCAACTACGCTACAGTTGAGCTTTGGTCTCGCCGCTATATTAGCCTCTCCTGTACCTGGTCGTCTGGCCGAAGGGCCACCCCCCAAAAAGGCGTCAAAGTAGCTGTTGCTGCGCATCTCGTTGCTAACAAAATCATCGAAGTTGAAATTGTTAATTATGTTTTCCAGGTCGAACAGGTTGAGGTACCCGTCTCCCTCATCCTCCTGCGTGTCGTCCTTGTTGGAGGAGCAATTGGACAGGGATGTACTCCTTGGTGGAGGAGCGGCATCCGTTGTTTCCGCTCCCGGTGTCGCTGCTACACCCTCCGCTGGTACGGTCTTCTTCAAGTAAAGTGCACCACGTTCCATCCCCTTATTGACACACGCATATTCATAAAAAGCCCTAAAAAAAATGAGCATAAAATCATAGTAGTAAAATTTGCTCTTATGCAAAAAGGCAAAGTCATTAATCTTTTTCGTGTCCCAAAAAAGGATACACATGACATTCCAGATGGAGATAAATTGATTAACATCGATTTTGTTCATTTCTACAAATTCCCTTGAATATTTTTTTAATTCATTTTCTTCAATCAAGTACAATGAGTAAATCAAATCATTTGAACATTCTTCTTTATATTTAATTATATGCTTCAAAAAGTATGTGAAACAAATTTTTTGCAAATGCACATTTTTCTTTTTCTCTGCTTGTAATAAGTAAAGTAAATTTTTTTTTTTATTTAAATCGTCTGTCCTGCTATTGAGCCAATTAAAAATTATTTTAAGAAAAGATTTCTTCGGGCGAGAGGTGTAGATATTGGACCAGATGGAAATAACTAAGCTGCGTATTTTACTTGCTTTTAAATGATTAATATTTTTTTGTTTTTCATTTTTTAAACATAACTTTAGTAACGTTTTACACTCTTTGTATCCAACACACTTGAGCTTATCTATGCTTTTCCACAGGTCGTTTGCGTCCCCCTTTTCTGCCCTGACCATGTGTCTCTTCCTTTCACAAAAGCAATTGTCGCTGGAGTCCACACTGGAATGGTACCCCTCGAAAAATACATCAAACATTTTGTCCTTTATATTTCCCTCGCGCACGCTGCCGTTCACTTTATCACTAACGCGATCGCTGACCCGATCGCTAGCCCTATCACTAGCCTTATCCGTAGCAGCTTTGTCTGCCACTTCCGCCGCCGTTTCATCACCATGGGCTGTTTCCCCTTTGGATGCACGGGCCGCTTCCACACTACACTCGCCCTCCTCAACGTCAATACTTCCCCTCTTGCCGTCACTCCCAACAGCACTTTTAACACAATTCTTGTAGTACTCACTGGAGTGGGTACCACTGGAAAATTTGAACTTGTAAAAAATGTATGTCTTCAAAAACCACTCCGCATACCTAAAGTCAACTTTATCATTAAACAAATAAACCAAGTCCTCTGAATTGAAATTTCTTTCGAACAGTTCGTTGTCTAGGATGAACAAATAAAATAAGCAGATAATACAAGCGACGTATAACTGGGGGTACACATAAAGTGTATTTAAAATTTCATTGATCATGAGTTTTTTTTCATCACTTGAGGAATAATACAAAATTTTCCTGACTTTATATATTTTGTCTTCGTTGCTTAACTCTAGAGAGAGCAAGATATTCTTTACGTTTTTGTAACTCTTTCCCGGACCCCACAGCTGGTGTTCAGCACTCTGCATTTGTTCCTCATTCTGCACCTGTTCCTCAGTTTGGTGACCTTCACCGCTTTGTCCCTGTGTTGCGTCCTTTTTGGCCTTGTCGCGTGGAGCATCCTTACTCGAACGACCACCTGCACGGTCTGTCACCACATCCGACGCTCTTCCCGCAGAAAGGGTCTTCTCTTCCCCCCTACGTCTTCTAGCCCCCTCAGCTGGATCATCTGTGTAGTGGCCACGCTCTCCATCCACGGCACCTTTTCCATCCTGCATATCATCTGCACCACTTGCATTCCCCACACTATCTGCCTCCTCCGCATCATCTGCGGCACCATCTCCAGCGCCATCACCCCTGCGCGCTCGCCGGGCCGCTCTTCTGTTTTCCCCGCCCGAGTCGGAGCCAAAGCCAGCGCCAAAGCCTGTGCCAAACCACGCGCCGAACCCAGAATCGAATCGCTCTCCACTATCCTTCCTTCCGCGTGCCCCTTTCTTTCGGTGGTCGCCCTTTCCACTTTTGCCATCCTCCTTAATGGAGCTGGGGTAAAAATTTAAAGAGTCACTGTTTCGTTTATTTAGACCAAAAAAATTATCAAATCTGAGTCCTCGGCTAGTTTTGTGGCTAGCCGTTTTGTTGTTCGTCATGTGTGAATGTTCATACTCATCATAGGAATTTTTTTTTTTTTTTTTTGAATCAAATTCTGCTTCTTCCTCTGCCTTCTCTACATAATCGTCTTCCCTCTTTGGGTCGTAATTTGTGTCGGCGTTTTTTCTTTCAATTAATCTTTTTAAACTTAGGAAATTGTTCGAAAAAAATTCGAGACTTTTGTTCAGGTGCAATCCTCCTACTGCTAATCCTCCACTGCTGCTATTATTTCTGTGTGCTGGAGGTACGCCACTTGCTTCATCATAAAAGGAGTGGACTCTGTCTCTCGCCCCTACTCTACTTCTGCTTTTACACTTTTTAAATCTTTCATCCTCTTCAAAATTTACATCTTTCACTTTTACGTGAGATTCTCTTTTTTTCTTTTCATGGTGGAAGGTGTAGTAATCCTCTTCGTCCTTGGCGTGTGTGGAATGGAAGGTGTTTTGATGGCTTGCATGCCTTCCCGTCTTGGCGTCCGCTTTGTAATCCCCCTTGTAGTCGACTGTGGAGTCCCCCCTGGAGCCCCTTTTGAAGCTCGTTCTTTTCTCCTCCTCCTTATCGTGGGACTTTTTCTTCCTATGTGTGATATCAACAGGGGTGCCACTTTTGTGTGTTCCTTTTTTCTTTTCTCCACTGGGTAGGCTCTCCTTGGATGTCTTCTTCTGCAGAATTTCATTTCTCAGCAGTTCAATTTCGGTGTTTATATTTTCCGCTCGAATGGCTTTTGAAATATTCCTGAGCATGCGTTTTTCTCTTGCGTCCCTGTGGTGTCGATCATTTCGTTCTTCTTGTCCTTCCTCCTCCCCGTCTTCCTCTCCCTGTTGAGTAAAATGGTGAGAAAAGTCTTTACCGTTAAGACTTTTTTTATACATTTGATTATCCAGGACTGAACCAAAGAACTCCTTCATGTATTCTTCCCTCAACTCTTCTTTTTTTCTTCTACTAGTCTTTCGTTTCCTTTTTGCCTTTTCTGCGTTTACTCCTTCATCATGGTTCTGCACTTCATCTGGGTAAGCCAGGATCCCCTTATGGAGATTGACCCCTCGTAAGTCGTGAAGCATGTCCATGTAAATATTTTCAGCAAGGGGATCATCTCCCATGACACCGTCGCGATGGCGACCTCTCCTATTATGGTAAGGGAAATCTCCCGCATTATCATCACAAAAGTCATCGTCCTCCAGTGAGCAAATGGAATTGTTTTGGGTTCGACTTCCATTCCTCTTATGATCCCTCGTGCTTCTACGTTTGTGGAGTTTATTCTTCTCCTCGACAATCTTCACCTTTTCGAGCTTTCCACTTTTGCTCTTCTTGGCGAGTTCTCCTTGCAGTTTTTTTTTCTTCTTTCTCTCTTTGTGGCTTCCACTCGCACCTTGCGTTTTTTCCATGTGGTCCCCATTGTGAAGATCTTCATGATCAAAACTATCACCACCTCCTTCCGCGCCTCCCCCCTCATCATAGTCGCCATACTCATCACTTTCTTCTTTATCCACATCTTCCCCCCCTGTGCCCTTTCTACCTCTACCCACTTGGTCGTCTTCTTCCTCCTCCTCCTCTTCCTCCCCTTCATCATCGTCTTCATCCTCATCTCCCTCTTCCTCCTCCTCATTTTCTTCTTCCTCCTTGAAGCTCTGGCTCGCCCCTGTAATGCTCTTTCCAGCACTGCTACTTTTCCTGTCCCCCCACTTGTCCCTTTTGAAACTATAACTTTTGGTAAGTTCATCCTCCTGGTGAGCGGAGTTATTTCGGTGCTTTGAATGTTTTGCATTTTTCACATCTGCGAAATAGGACAGCTCATGAAATTGATCAAAAGTACTGTGTTGCCTAGTTGATTTTTTTTTTTTTTTTTCTTTTTTTTTTTCATCATTTAACAATAACATGTCTTTAAAAAAATCTTGGTTGAAGGTTAAGTTGGATCCGTTCATGCTATACATGTTGCTCATATTTTTGTGAAGCAATTTCTTCGAGTTGTTTGCTTCGTATTCAAAATAGTCTTTTTCGTTTTGCACCGTTTTGTTGCTGAAGAGGGTGGGCTTCACGAACGAATCGCCAAGCGCCAGCAAGTCGCCACGCTGCATCAGGTCACCACGCTTCACCAAGTCTCCACCCTTCACCAAGTCTCCACCCTTCACCATGTCGCCACGCGTCATCAAGTCGGCACCCTTCACCATGTCATTCCAAACTAACAAATCTGACTTCTCCTTCGCGGCACCCTCCGCATATCCAATTTGTTTCATCCTCTGCACACTTCCTCCACTCGATTCTTGTCTTACATGTTTGTTGCTTCCTTCTGTGTGTTTTTTTTTCCCATCGCCGCCCCCCTCGGAGGCGTCCACATCTGGTACTGACTTTTGTCCCTTCTTATTCTTTTCTACATCATGTGCATGTGTCACTGCTTCGTTTATCCCGCTTCCCTTTTCTTTTCCAGTCGAGTGGGTTTTCTCTTGTTGATTATCTCCAATAGGAACGACCCCAGTACTGTCCGTATCGTCGTTTGCACCTACCCCTTTGCCACGACTTCGAACAGAATCTTTCGCGGGGACGTCTCTAACTTGTACCTTGTCCATAGATTCGGTATTATTATATTGGTTAAAACTGTATGAGAGTTGCTCCAGGGATTCCACCCCTTTGTCACCTGCGTTTGCATCACGGGGGGGTACGTGTCCCTTGGTGTTAGTGTACCCATCAGTTGTTAACATGGTGTTGAGGTGATTCTTTAACGAGAAATCTTTACGTACATTTTCGTTCACATCTCTGTCTAATACTCTACTGCGTGAGCCTCCAAAAGGGCCGTCCCTGTTCTTGTTCTCCTTCTTCTTCTCCCCCTCCTCCTCTTCTTCTTCTTCTTCTTCTTCCTCCTCCTCCTCATCATCATCGTCTTCATCGTCATCCTTCCCCCTTGCATCCTCCATCTTGTCCTTGTTAAACGAAAACAAGGATTGCAAATTTTGGTATTCCCTTATGAAATTTTCATACACATTATCCTTGACAGACGTTTTTTTTTCATCATGTACACTTGCCTCATCGTTAATCTCACTTGAGTTTTTTTTTTTTTTTTGAGGGGAGCTAGCTATTATGTGTGTATATTTGGATGTACTTCTCTCAGCTTCTTTTTCGTGGGGGCTACTCGGGGGATGGCCCCGTTGGTCCCCTTCTGCGACACATTCTCTTTCAGGTAAACTTCCGTCCATATCATTTTCCTTTGAATTTTTTTTTTTATTTTTTTTGCCCCTCTGTTCGAATTCCTTCTGAGGGTGGTGGCTTTCCTCCTCAAAGTCCTCCGCGTCGGGGAGGGAGTAACTATTATTGTTCATTGTGCGTTCTCCTGCAGGATGGCTCTGCCTGGAGATTTTTTTTGTAAAGTGGGCGTCCCTGTCCACACGATCGTTTGGGGGTGCCCTGCTGACTTCACTTTCGATGTGGTTACCACTTCGTATTGTAACCTTTTTTGACTTGGCCACAACACGTGCGTTATGGTTTTGTGAAACGGAGGGGAACTTTTCTCCCTCAATTTCGTTACTCAAAAAAATTGTTTCACCCAAGAGAGGGCCTTCGTCGCGTCGGCTGCGCCGGTCGCGGTTGCTACGTTTGCAACCACTATCACCGCTTCTATGGCTGCGCCTGTGTTTTTCCCTTGCGCTTTTGCCAGAAGCTTCGTCGCCTCTCCCGTTCCTCACAAAGTCCCACTCGGGTACAGGGGCACGCGAATCATCATGCAGCGTCCCCGTTCTTTTGCCCTGTGTATAATTTTTCGTGCCTGCCTCGCGCGAACTGCAGTTCCCGCTGTGGTCATTCGTTTCCACGGTGTCCTCCTTTCCGTTGCCGTTTTTTCTGCTTTTTTTTTTTTTTTCTTGCTTTTGCCTTTGGCGCTGGGATTCGCCAACGACTTGGTTTTCGTCTTCGCCTTCGTCTCCGTCTGCGTCCTCTTTTTCCTTTTCCTTTTCCTTTTCGTTTTCGTCTCCGCTTTCGTCTGCGTCTCCGTCTTCTTCTGCAAAGTATTTGCT